GCATAAAGTGATAGCCCACTGGAGTTTTGAGTTACACTTCCCTGAAAATTAGTGATGTTGAGCATTTTTCATACACGTGTTGGTCACCTGTATGTCTGGTTTTGAGAAATGTCTACTTAGACATTAGAAAGGTCTGCTGCCAATTTTTTAATTGTTTATTTGGGCTTTTTGCTATTTAGTTGAGTTTCTGATACTTCATAGATATTAACCCCTTGTCCAATGTATAGCTTGCATTTTGCAAAATGCCAAGAAAATTTACATTTTCTTCCATTCTATAGGTTGTTGCTTAACTCTGTTGACTGATTTCCTCTGCTGTGCAGATGGTAAAAGCAATTTTTTTTTTTTTGGCAGTACTTGGGGTTGAACTCAGGGCCTTGTGATTGCTAGGCAGGCACTCTCCCACTAGCACCATGCCCTCAGTCCTTTTTGCTTTTATTTTGAGAAAGGATCTTGCTTTAACCCCTGGTTGGCCTGAACCATGATCCTACTCTTTTTGTGCTTCCATGTGTAGCTGGGAAGACAGCTACAAGTCACCATGCACAGTCACTGGTTGAGATGGGGGTCTCATTAACTTTTTGCCCAAGATGGCCTTAAGTTGTGATCCTCCCAATCTCTGCCTCCCAAGTAGTTGCTTCAGCCTTTGTGCCAGCTGAAAAAGTAATTTTTTAAAAGATACTATCTAAGCTAGATGCAGTGGTTCACACCTGTCGTCCCAGCTACAGTCACAGTTAAAGGGAGGCTGAAGTAAAGGATCAATGGAGCTCAGGAGTTAAAGATCAGCCTAGGAAACAACATTAAATTAATTAATTAAATTAAATAAATAAATAAAATAAAATAAAATAAAAGACACTATCCACAATGCTGAGGAAAAAAATATAAGATACCTGGGAATGTTTCTTTAAAAAGTTGTGGGAAAATTCTGCAGCAAAAATGCAGAAAAAGAATTTTAACAAAGAACTTTGTCCAGATTGGCATTAACTGTGCACTCTGGAAAATGTCAATTTATACTGAACTTGAGATAGTTCTGCAGAATCAGTATAGATGACTGCAAGATCAGACTTTCTGACCCAGACATGGTTTAGACAATGTTTATTTGATAGAGTCAATGCCAAGAAGAACCAAGGCATTCCTAACGCAGAACTATAAGGTTGGGAAAACCTGCCTCACTACACATCAAGACTTACTGTAAAATTATAGTAACAAGATGCGGCAGTACTGGACTAATGGAAAGAAACAAGCCCACTCGCATATGAAAATCTGTTCTAGGCAAAGCCTGTATTTCAATCTAGTCGGGAAGGGTAACAATTCAATAAATGGGCTGAAACAATTGATTATCCGTGTGTGGGGGCGGAAAAACTAAATGAATCCCTGTCTCACAAAACTCAGTTCTAAGGAGATATGACCTTATCTAGGAGAGACAAATCTTAAGACCTTTACAAGAAAATTCTAGGAAAATAATGGGACCTAGGAATAGGGCAAGATTTCTGAAAGACATAAGAGGCACAAATCATAAAGAAAAAAGGTGGATAAATATCATTATTTTAAAAATTAAACTCAGCAAGCTGGTTCCAGTGGCTTGTGCCAGTAACCCTAGCTATTGAGAGGCAGAGATCAGGAGGATCATGGTTTGAAGCCAGACTGGGCAAATAGTTCACAAGACCCTATCTCAAAAAAACTCATTGCAAAACACGGGCTAGTAGAGTAGCTCAGGTGGTAAGAGGGCCTGCCTAACAAGCATAAGGCCCTGAGTTCAAACCCCACACTGTCAATTAAAAAAAAAAAAAAAACTGTTCTGCAAAAGTGTGAAAAAAGATAAACCACAAACTGGGAAAAGGTATTTAAGGTATTAGTAATTTGTATAGAAGCTAGCTTCCAGAATTTAGAACATATAAAAAAATACATAGGCACATATAATTACATAATTAAACATTTACATAAAAAATGTATACATAGAAATATTCCAAGAGAGAGAAAGAGAGAGGCTGGGCACAATGGTTCATGCCTGTAATCCTAGCTTCTCAAGAGTCAGAGATAGGGAGAACTGCATTTCAAGGCCAGTCTAGGCAAAAACTTAGTTAAGACCTCATTTCAGCAAATAAGCCAGGTGTGGTGGCTCTTCTCTGTAATCCAAGCTATCAGGAGGCAAAACATGAGACCCTATCCAGAAAAATAACTAAAGCAAAAAAGGTCTCAGGGTGTGACTCCAGTGGTAAAGCACCTGCCTAGCAAGCACAAGGCCCTGAGTTCAACCCCAGTACTACCACAAAGAGAAAAAGAGAGAGACAGAGAGACAGAGAAAGACAGAGAATAGAGAGTATTTATAAGGGGGAAAATCTCATAGAAATATTAAATAACATAAGCAAGTATTTCACAGAAAAGGAAATACAAAAGACTAATAAAAATATGCTCAGCCAGGTGCTGGTGTTTCATGCCTGCAATCCTAGCTACTCAGGAGGCAGAGATCAGGAGGATCAGGAGACCCTATCTGGAAAAACCCTTCACAAAAATAGGGCTGGTGGAGTGGCTCAAGGTGAAGGCCCTAAGTTCCAGCCCCAGAACTGCAAAAAAAGAACCACTCAATCTCATTAATAATGAAATTCAAATTAAAGCCACAATGAAATGTTATTTAACACACTCCAGATACTCACAAGCTTAACATTACCAAATGTGAAGGATGCAGAGTAGCAGGAACCTTCCCATTTGGGAACTGCCTCGACACAGAGAAGGTTTGCTATAGGAATTGAAATGTCTCCCGGTACATCTCTGGTACTTTTGTTCACAGTTTGAGGTTGGGTGTGAGCTTAGAGGCAAACAAAATAGGATTTGACAACTTTGTTTCTGGCCAAAAGACAGGACTCTGCAATAAGTCCAGCCTAGCTTCCCAGAGAGCTGCACTGGACTATGAAGCCAGAGTCTAACTCTAGTAATACATTATTCTCTGTGCCCCCAGCCAGCCAAACTCCATCTGTCAACACTCACCTTTCGTTAATGCTCATTGAACACTTACTATGTAGCACATATTCAGATTAATTTTTTTTTTCCAAGTACTGGGGTTTGAACTCAAGGCCTTGCCCTTGCTAGGCAAACACTCTACCACTTGAGCCAAGACTGCAGCCACTCACCTTTTTCATGGGATTAAAATACACTCAAACTTAACATATCCAAAATAGAATTCACTACCTCACCACTGAATCTGTTGTACCCATAAGTTTTCAATCTTGTTACCTCTGAACTCCTTCTTCTCACTTCTCCTCACATACACAGTCATTAAATTCTGTTGGTTTTTATTCAATTACAGCTCTCAAATACAGTCACTTAGTCTAGGCCCTCATTATTCTGGCCTGCACCACTGCAATAGCTATGTGCAAAGACACTTACAATAAATTGTACAAGCTTATATGGCCAGTGCACATAGATGCTGCAGTGTGGTCCTCCTCCCTTCAGACTCTTCACTACTCCAAACTCCAGACTGTGTGAGAGCTGTCTCTTAAAAAACAAAAAACAAATCTGTTCCTGGTGATCTTATGGTTAGGAAATTAAAAAAAAAAAAAAAATCTGATAATGTGATTGTCCTGCTTAAAAATCTCCACAGCCAAAGACCCTCTAAGGTTACTTTGGCTAGTAGTCTGGCCATGATTAATTTCTCCCGCTTCATCCACCACCTCATCTCTATCATACCATGCACCCTGCATTTCACTCACACTTACATCCTTACCATTCCTCAAAGCAATCTCAGCTGTGCTTCATGCTGTTTCCTGCCTCATATGGGAATCCTCTCCTCACCACATTTTCTGCCTAATAAAATCTTTCTCTCTTTTAGACCAAACTTAAATGTTACATTCTAAGTTTTTCTCATCCGAATTACAAAGAAATAGCTTGTATTCCAAATCTGCTCACTTTATACCACACTACATTCTAATGTGGTATGCATTTATATGCCCACCCTACCCACGAGACTATTAGCTTCTCTAGGAAGGTACCATTTGTCATTATTGTTCACCCTAAAGATTAGACTTTTTTTTTTTTTTGAGGCACTGGGGTTTGAACTCAGGGCCTCACGCTTGCTAGGCAGGCACTCTTACCACTTAAGACACTCTGCCAATCTATTTTTGTGAAGGGTTTTTTGAGACAGAGTCTCTAGAACTATTTGCCTGGGGCTGGCTTTGAACCTTGATCCTCCTGATCTGCCCAATCAGATTTGGTGGTTCACGCCTGGAATCCTGGCCACTGAGGAGACAGAAATCAGGAGGAGCTTGGTTTGAAGTCAGCATGGGCAGATAGTTCATGAGACCCTATCTGAAAAAAACCCATCACAAAAAAGGACTGGTGGAGTGGCTCAAGGTGTAGGCCCTGAGTTCAAACTCCACTACCCCCAAAAAAAGGAAAGAGAGAGAGATTGGGCAGTTAACAGGGGAAATAACTAAGATTTGAGCCCATGTTTACTGCAACATTCAAGAGGTTTTCACTTTCTCAATATTCCTCAAATTCAATTCTCCCTGAGAGAGGAGGGAAAGGGAGAATGAGGGTAGAAGGGTGGAGGGACATGGGCAATGCACCACATATGCATGTACGGAAACACCACAGTGAGTCCCATCAATTAGTATAACTAATACGTGTTAATAATTACAATTTTTAAAAAATCATTTCTCCATTCTCTCTTTTGGCAGTCCTGGGGATTGAATCCAGGGCTTCCTGCTTATTAGGCAAATACTCTACCACTTGAGCCACTCCCCGAGTTCACTAATATATTTTCTTTACCACACCAATAAGGCTTGGAATTCTTCTGTTTTTAATCAAAAAAAAAAACAGTACACTGTTACCAAAAAACAAAAACAACTATTCAGGACCTGGAGGTGTGGTTCAGTGGTAGAGTGCTTACCTAGAATAGTAAGGACCTAGGTTCCATCCCCAGCACTGCCAAAAAACAAACAAGAAAAAAAAAAAACCTCACTCAAAAGAATATTTACCTATCTTTTAAGCAGTAAAAATATATTTATTACCTGAATAAGAATTAAGTGAAACTGTCCACCGCACTGTTAATCCAATTAAAACCACCACTGTCATCCAGTAACATTTCTCCATAGTTCTTCAAATTCAAAGAAGAAAACAAGACTAGAGTCAGAATACTTTTAACAGAGTCAGCCACTTATTTCCGTGATCACAGAAATGTTATCACTTCTTTGGAATTAGGCAGTTCAGAGAATTTTAAATGATGCTTTGCTTCCAAATAGTCAAAAACTGATTATGTCAGTGAAGAGCCTAGGGGAGAAAAAAAAAGATACAAAGATTTAGCTAAACACAGTACCTCAACTATGAACCCACTAAACCAAGCAAAAAGATGGAGAACTGAGAGGGAAAGAATACGGTAGGTACAGAGGGAAGGGAAGAGTTTTAGGTTCCTTATTCCCCAGTACTCTAATCGGGACATACACAGCTAAAGGTAACTCACCCTGTAAAATACAGTAAAGGGTGTGTAAAAAGAAGAATGGCTTAAAATGGCTACTGTGATGGGAACAGTGTCTTAGGGAGATGCAGCTTGGACTTGAGGTAAATTGAATACTTTACAAACTGTGGTTTAGAGTTTGCTTAATGATATTATTTGTAAAAGAGCACAATTGCTGTAATTTTGTATTTGTTATGGTCTCCTTAATAAACAATAAATGTACAATGATGAATATTAAAAAAAAAAATTTCTGACAGAAGAAAAAAAACAGACATAAGCACAGTCAATTCTGTCTACAGCATGTTTACCTACAGGTAAACAGAAGACTCACAAAGTATGATTTATCTTTGATACAGAGAGAAAAAGAGAAATTTTGTCTTCATGTTTAGTTTGAAAAAGCCTTCCATTAAAGTAATTTCTGTATTTGGTTTTTACTTCTTTTCTTCCAAAATGAGTATTTCCTAATCACATCAACTCTCCATGTTAAAGAAATGAACCTTTGTAAAAATCAGTAAGACCTGCCCAAATCTTCAGAGAAAATACAAAACCAGCAAAATCCAATTACCCATTTACATGTTTGTCTTTGTTTCTTTTCTTTCTTTTTAAACTTTTCTTCTTAGGTTGGGTGTTTGTTTTTGTGGTGCTAGAGATTGAACCTAGAGTCTTGAACATGCTAGGCAAGCACTATACCACTGAGTTACATTCCCAGACCAGGTTGGGGTCTAAAAGTAAGAAATCCAATTAAAATCTTCCTCTTCTCTTTAAAAAATTATGGGCCATTTTAGCCACAAGATATTATTTAATTTAAATATATTCAGAAAAGCATAAATAATAAATCAACTGAAACTTTTAGGAGAAAATTGGGTCATTCCACCTACTGGGCTAAAATTGTTTTCTTACTTAAAAGCATCAACAGACAAGTCCAGAACTAATATTTCAACATTTCATTCAAATAGAGTGCCTCAAAACATTTAATAAAGCTATGTAACTCTATTATTAAAATTTGGATTATATAAATTCCCTTTCTTTTACCAAACTTGAGTTCAAGTTTGAGTTCAATCCCCACTACCAAAAAAAAAAAAACACTTTCTCTTCTCTCTGTTCATTGCCTTCTCCTTTGGTCATTTCACTGTTCCCTAGAACTTACCTCTGTGAGACAAGATAAGAGGAAAAATTAAAACCAAATAAGACAGAACCTTGGAGCTGGCAGTGTGGCTCAAATGGTAGAGCACCTGCCTACCAAGTAAGCAAGTGCAAGGCCCTGAATTTAATCCCCAGTACCGCAAAAATAAACAAATAAATAAATAAAAATAAAGTCACTTTCCAGTGTTGATTCTGAATCTGACAAGAGGTCACAGGCCATGATCAACAATTCAAATTCTTTTTTAGTTAACTGCTAAAAACTCCTTTTATCAACATGTTGCACCATATATTTTCTACTAACACATCATGTTTAAAATCTGAAATTCAAATGTTAATTTCTGGATTTAAAAATACAGCTTAACTAATATTCCAAATAGAAAATTTAAATTACTACACTGCATGGCGGTACAGGCCTATAACCCCAGCTACTTGGGAGGCTGAGACAGGAAGATCATGAGCTTAAGGCCAGCCTGGGCAACTTAGCAAAATCCTGTCTCAAAACAAAATAAAAAAGAGCTAGTGACTTAGCTTAGTGTAAAGCACCTGCCTAGCATGAGCAAGACCCTGGGTTCAATCCCCAGTCCTGCCAAATAAATAAATAAATATATAAAATGAAAAGTTTTCTAACAATTAAGAGTTGTCCAAAATTGAAATGAATCTCTTTTAGAGAAAAAATTTCCTCTTTGATGAGTTCTAACAGAAATGGAGCAACTATTTGACAGGAATATTTTTAAACAGTTGGGATGAATGACTAATTTTTAAAGTGTCTTCTAAATCTGATTTTGAAAGCAAATTGTGTCTTCACAGCTACTAGCGTCCTTTGCCACTTTTCTAGGACTTCTCTGATGAGTAAAACATATAGGCCTTCAAATACTCCATGAGTGGATCATAATAGGGACTGAAGGACATCAAAGTCACCTTTTCCTTACATATACTACACTTAAATAAAATCCAAATATCCCAGTCATAAGACCCTCTATAATCTAACCCCTACCTGCCTCTCCACCTCCTTCTCTCCCACTTTGTCATAAGGTCTTTTCTCTCTTACTAGAAACTGTCAAGTTCATTCAAGCTCAGTTCCTTTCAGCTTCTGTCTCCCTGTTTGGCATGTTCAACTCAGTTCACTGGTTAATATTGTTGTGTCTTTCATGTTGTATCTCAAGCCATCCCCTTAAAAAGACCATCTGTCCCCACCCTACTAAAATTTCCTCCCCTTATTATTTGCACCACTGCCTTAATTTCCTTCCTAATGCTTTTCACCATCGGAAACTGTATTATCACACAACCTAGAATATTCTCACACTAAAAAATTTTCCATAAAAGAAGCTGCACACCAAAGAATAGAGTTCTATCTGCAAAAGGCTCCTAAATAGGTAAAACTAATTTATGGTGTTAGAATAGGAACCTCAGGAAAGAGGTTATCTATGGGGAGAAGAGAAGGGATGGGGATTGGGAAGGGGGTCTCCAAAAAGGTCTGGCAAGGCTGTGATGTCCTATTTGAGTGGTGTTTAAAAGATGTGTTGAAGAGTTGGGGATGTGTCTTAAATGATATGTGACCTTCCTAGCAAGCTGAAGCCTGAGTTCAATCCCCAGGATTTTATTACTTTGCAATAAATTAGTATTTCAATACCTAGTATAGTACCTCCTAAAAAAAGAAAAGAAAAAATGTAATAACCTATGTGTGCAATATTGTCCTGCACGTGTGTTATACTCAGTAAAAAGTATAAAAGAAAATGACATTTGTCAACACACGAACGCAGACCCTCCTTGTCTTAGTCCTTCTCTGTACTTAACGGTGTTGGCAGAAAGCGAGAACCCAGAAGCCGGGGGGGGGGGGGGGGGGGGGCGTGTGTGTGTGTTCGTGTGCGGAAAAAGAACCTAAGACTTCTTTTCTTTTTTACAATTTTTTCCAACTGTAAGGCAAAGTTGCCTTACATCCACACACCGCCAAGCTCACCCACAGGTGGCAGAGACGCATCCTGCCCTACTTCGCCCTGAGGGTGCATCCTGACGGAAGACGAGCCCGCAGTCCCCGTCCCTTCAATCTGGAATGTCCTTGTCCCCACAGTGGCCGCAGGTCCCAGGGAGTGCAGCTATAGCACGTGAGCACATCTGGCAACAGGGACCTTGGACGTTTCTGTCCCCTTTCCCCGAAGGCCAGACCTCCAGGACCGCTCCGGCGAGGGAGGGTGCCCCCACCATCACCACTCCCCTCACCCGACCCCCAAGCGACCCCACAGACTGGGCTGGGGCGGCCGCGCGGCGCGCCCCTGGGAAAGGAGTGCAGCTAGGAATCAAGTCGCCAGCTCCGCGCCCGCTGCTGACGTGTCGCCAGCCCCCAGCACCTCTCCACGCAGCCTGGGTTCCAGACACCCGGAACCCGCTGCCCTTACCTGCCTCCGCCTGCCGCTGCGATTCGCGCACGCAGCGGGCCCAGAGATGGCGCCTGCGCGCTCGTCCCCAGCGGAGCACACTCTGGCCGCGGCTCCCGCGAGCCCGCGCGCCCAGCACGGGAGCGAGCCCGTCGGGCGTGAGGGGCGGGGAGAGGGGCGGGGCGTCCCCGGGGGCGGGGCAGAGCGTGAGGCTAGACCCCGAGCGACCTCCCCGCTGGGGTTAGGCCCGGGGCAGATGGAAAGCCCCTTACTCTTCTTTCCCGGGATGGTGGCCAAGGCCGGAGCGGCTGCTTAGCCCACGAATTCCTGGCAAGGGCGCGTCCTGGCCCGCTTCGCAGAGTGCAGAGCCCTTTGCCTGGCCCTCACTACGGGGCAGTAGGTCTGACTCTGGGCCTGTGCCCTCGAGGAGCCACGGAGCCAGCTCACTTCACATTTTTCGTGCTCCATGCCTGCGAAGAAGAGTGTTGCATAGGAAGACTGGGGAGTCACTTTATGTGACTAACGTCACCAAACGTCGGACCGTCCCTGAGAGCCTGAAGGAGAATAGCTAGTTGGAGGCCAGCCTAGACTGCATCGCAAGACTGTTTCAAAAAGAATAGCAGTGCCCTTTATACGCCACCATGCATGCCCTATCAGCCAATTTAAATCGCCTATTCACACATTTGCAAAAAGTAACCACATCCCAATCCTTCCTTCTGAGAGTGTTCTCGTCCCTCGCACTCTTCTGAATCCCCTGCCATTCTAGATCAGTCGACTCCATTAATTTATAAGTATCAGCAAATATTTGGCTATTGCTATGGCTTTCGACCAAGTGAGTTTGCGCACTCTGGGCCTCAGTTTTTTCATCTGTGAAATGCATCACTAAGTGAACTTCCCAGATCTAAAATTTTATTCTATTATTTAAAACCCACCAGCCGGAAATATGGAAGAAATATGGCCAAGTCCCTGCTTTCAAGAAATTTAATTCCCTTTGGAAAGACATTTCCGTGCATAAAAGGATAGAAAGCAATAAAAGGAAACACATACTAATGTCACTTTATTGGTATATACTCTAAACACTGTAGGAGTTAAAAGGAGACTTGGGCTCACTGTGAATGACAAGCTATCAGGAAATGCTTTTCCTGAAAGAATCAGCTGAGCTTTGAAAGAAAAACTGGACAAGATAAGCCAAGAGGATGGGAGGCCTTAAAAATCTAGACAAAGAAAATGGTCGAAGCCAAAATTGTGGCTGCTGAAAAGTGCAGATCATGTCCTTCAGTTTTTATGGTCCATGATGACACAGAAAAGGAGTGATTGTGGAGAACCTTGAATACCAGGCTGTAGTGTCTGTAATTTATTCAGTGATCAGTAAGGGGCATTAAATGACATTTAGCTGGGAGTCAAGTGCACAGTACAGTGTTAGAGGAAACATAAAATGGTGATAGCGGATCACGTGAGTCAGAGGGAGGGGAAGAAGTCAGTATAGTACTCCATGGCTAGACAAGGGCCTGAATTGAGATGGTAATACTGGAACTGGAAAGGAAAGAATCCATGCAAGAGGGAAAATGCACAGGCCTTGGTAACATACTAAATATGTAGAAAAAGTGAATTGAGGAAAGAAGGAAGAATGACTCCCAAGGTTTCTAGTTGGAATTACTAGAAGAACTGATAGATCTTGAAAGCTTCAAGAAGGTGGCTTGGAGGGAAAGGTGGTGCATTGTACTGAATTCAAAGTGACATTAGGAGAAAAAAATAGTAATATTCCAGTGACAGTTATGGATCAGAACCCAGGAAAGAAGGTGGGCTAATGATAGGTGAAATCTTTTCATTTGTTGAAGAATGAGATAATAGATGGAGAAAGTAGACAACTGTACTGTGTTGAGTAAACACAGGTTGCAGGCCAAGAGGAGGAAAGTGAGCTGATGAAGTACATTACATGGTTGTAAATGAAGGAAGAAAACCAGTACATTGCAGGATTATATCTGTTAATAATCTTGTGAAGAAGAACCATGTTTGGCAGACCAAAAATCATATTTTACTGAATCTAAGGTTGTTAATTGAAAGGAACAGCACCACTATTTTATGTACCACCAAGAACAGCAAAACACAAAACAAAGCCAAAAAAAACCCTACCATTTTAAATGAATAGTGATTATAAAACACATAATTCAGAAATGTTAATATGTGATTAACTATACATCTTAAAGTGATGAAAATTGGTATTAGTCTTTCCTTCCTGCCTCCCAACTCAAATAACTTCTGGCCCAATATTTAGCACGAAGGTCACAATATTCATTAAATAACTAGTGTAAGGGACTTCATAGCTGAACTATACCATCACCACCATCTACAAACTTTCTCCTGATCTTTCACCTCTGAATATCCAGGACCTATAAATAACAGAGGCTCAGTGAATGCACTTTGCACTTGATGTTAGCCAAAAGGTCAAGAAATGATCAGTAACTGCATTTTGAATGGAACATTCCTATCATTAAAAAGGATAAGGTATAGCAAAACTGCAGAGCAGATCAAGTTTATAGACAGTGTGGCATGGTGGTTAAGAATACCATTTGAGCCCATTCAGGTACAGGAAGCCTCCAGGACACCAGACTTGACCAAAATAGAAATTCCCCATGACATATTATCATTAAACAACAAGCACAGAGAAAGAATATTGAAGCCTATAAGAGAGATAAAACAAGTAACATATAAAGGTAAACCATCAAAATCACAGCAGATTTCTCAACAGAAATCTTAAAAGCACAAAGTGCATGGAGTAAGAACACAATCTGATCTGGAAATAAATGTTTAGATTTAAATCTCACTTTTCTCTGGCTCTGTGGCCTTACTAAAGTCTTCTAATGTATATATGATGTAATTACTTCATCAAGTAAAAAAGAAAAATAGTATTGTACCATCTTCCTTAAGTTGTAATGAGCATAAAATGAAATCACACATATAAAGTTCTGAAAATACTGCCTGGCACATAGTACGCAATCAATGAATAATAGGTATTGTAATTGGTCTTTACTACATTCTCACTTTTTTTTCTTTTTTCGGCAGTATTGGGGTTTGAACTAAAAGGGCTTTTATACTTGCTAAGCAGGTGCTCTACCACTTGAGCCACACCCAAGTCCCATGTTGTCAGTTTTTGATAGCCTTTTCCTCTCTGGAGTGTCTCTGTCCCCTACCATATACAAAAGAGCCCATACACACATATACTCACACCAGCATCAAAAACCCTACCATTTCAACTACCTGAAACTTTTCTGTGAAACCAATTTACACCAATATGTAGTCCTTCCCAAGAGCTGTTGCATTTTTAAGGAAAATGAACTGAAAGGGCGAATATTAATCTATAAAGCCAGATTGAACAATAGGTAATGGCTGCAATTATCTACTGCTGTATGACAAATCATTCCAAAACATAGTGGCTTATAATACAGTATTTTACTTGCTCATTAGTTTGTGTATCAAAAATCCAGGATCAAAGTATGAAAATGACATAATGAAACCCACTAAAAACCATTTAAAGGGGGAGGACAGGGAGGAATTAAAAAGAGTAGTATAAATTGGGTGAATCTGATCAAAGTACATTACATGTATGTATGTGCATATCGCAATGACACCCCCCTTTGTACAATTAATTTATGCTAATTAAAAAAGAAAATCCAGGCAGGGTTCAGCAAGTGGTTCTTCTGTCACACTGGCATAGGCCAACCTCACTTGTGGGACTGAGGATCATCCCAGGCTAGAACATCTATCATCGCTTCACTCCTTTTCTCCTGAGGCTTCTTTTTCCAATAGGTTAGGTGAACTTTTTATACAGCAGCTTGCTTTCCAGACAGAGTATTCCAAAGGCAAAAGTTTCAGATTTCCTCTACCCCAGCCTTAGAAGTATTACATAAAATGTATAGGAGTCATTAGTTTGGACTGAGGTACTACACTAGATCCAACAGGTCAAACCAAAATTGAATTACTCATGGTGAACTTCCATACCTCCACGACAAGATTTAGTTGTTCACCTGATCTTCTGAGAAATCAGAAGAGATCATAGCTAAATCCCCAGACAGACCAGTTTTGGCCAGCATGTTAAATCCTCTCTGCTTTTGCCATTATAAGAAAAATAACTTTGAAGTGATCAACCTGCTTTTTTCTTCTGTTTCTGCTGTCATCAGGAATTTTCTATTTATAAAGCCAAACTCTACTCATCACAACACTCATTTTTTTCTATGCATTTTCATTAACATACACCAATTAGGCTGGCAAAGTGGCTCAAGTTAACAGAGCGCCTGCCTAGCAAGCATGAGGTCCTGAGTTCAAACCCCACAACCACCAAAAATAATTAAAAAGGGGGGGAGGATAAAGGAGAGCAGTGGGGAAGTGAATTCAAGTATGATATATTTGATACATTGTAGGAACCTTTGTAAATGTCACAATGTACTCCTACCCAGCAAAATAATAAAGGAAAAAAAATATTTTTTAAATATATACTAACTATACAAGTGTTTCATTGTGATATTTCCATACACAGAGACAATATATTAGATCAAATTCACCTACACTGTTATTATTTCTTACCTCTCCCTTTTTACGTAATTTTAATATGTTTCATTATACTGTTTACAAATATGTATATAATATACTTTGATCATATTCACTCTCCCATCAACCTCTCTTTTCATCCTCCCTACTCTTGGTTTCCCTCATGAAGGGTCCCCCTTTTACATTCATGACATTTTTTTAAGGTACAGATTTCATATTATGAGAGAAAAGATGTGGCATTTGTCTTTCTGAGTCTGCCTTATTTCACTTAAAGTGAAGATCTCCAGTTCATCCATTTTCCTGCAAATGACACAATTTCATTGTTCTTTATGGATAACTAATACTCCATTGTGTATATATAATGGAGTATACCACATTTTATTTGTCTGTTCTTCTGTTGAAGGGCACCTAGGCTGATTCTATAGCTTGACTATTATGAATAGTGTTGCAATAAGCATAGGTGTGTATACCAATTTACATTCCTTTGGATATATGCCCAAGAGTAGTATAGCAGGACCATATGGTAGTTGTATTTTTTTGGTGGGGGGAATTGTTTTTATTTTTGTTTTTGTGGGACT